GTGACTGGGTGTGGCCGGTAAACTGCCCAGGACCGCAGCTCTCCTGCTGATGGTGGTGTGCTTTGTTGATCCAGGATATACAAGGGGCCAGAGCTGCCACCATAAAACCTGTCTTAGTGGCCCAGGCTTCACCTTGTCTCCTGCCCTTAACACTTCCTTTCTTAGACTGGAGTGAGTGGGCTGTGACCCACTCCTTCCCCTGCCTTCTGGCCAGTGATCTGGCAAGGCTCATCCCATCACACGGCATCCATGTGCCACACTGATTCGTGGTCAGTGGCTCTTGTACATCATGACTGGAGGTGACAAGTCCCTGTTCCAGCGTACTCTATTGGACTGGCCTGAGTGGACCCCCTTGGTGGACCTACGGGGGAAGAACAGGAGCAGCTCAGCAGACAGCTAGACACAGGTCAGCACACACTGTATCTGGTAGCCTGGACCTGAGGGGTCCTCAAGAGACACCTAAGCTTGAAGGGCAAAGGGATGAAGAGGCTGGGATGGAGACAGAGGCAGGCCTGTGGAGGATGGTATGTCCTCTTAGCTGAGCCAAACGCCTGTACGATACTCATCATGGCTCTGGGGACTACAGGGCTCACAGGTCTCTCTATGTTCCCAACAGTCAGCTTTAAGGTCCTGACATTTTTTTCATCAGTAGAGTCATCTTGCAAACCCAGAGGCAGAGAGATACTGGACAGAGAACATCCTGGACGTCCTCATCTGTGACTCATTCCCGAGAGCTGGCACAGTGGGGGACTGCCTCGCTCCTGAGGCTGGGCCGTTCCAATGCCTTCCTGGAAAAGATGCCCCAAACTGCTGTGCTTCCTGCCTCTGCCCAAGGCCACTGAGAACCACTCTATAGATAAGTGAATGAAGATAGCCTCGGCTAGCCAAGGGACAAGATGGCAGTGTCCCAACCACAGAAGTGTTTGATGGTCCTGTGTGTGGACCCAGAGTTCTCCAGCTTGAACATGGCCCCTCAGAAAGCTGCAGAAGCCTGTTGGCTGAGCTGTCCATGAGCCCCTGTCCCCTACCCCAGGGAAGCAGGATGTGTGTCCCTTCTGCAGTGCTGGGCCAGGAGCTGTAGCCTCCCTCTGTCTGGGCCCCTCTGTGCTATGGGACTGGGATCAGACTTGGGGACCGCGGGGAAGGGAGCTGACTGCCATAGAAATTCATGTCCTGTCTCCTCCTTAGCATAATGGCTCGATGGGTTTTCGAATGAGTTGTTATTGAACCATACAGAGGGACCTCAAAGAGCAGCAGTATGGCTGCTAATGACTCCAGTCAGGTACCAAGGCCCTAAGATGGAAGGGGCAGCCAGCAGCCAAGGTCTCCTTCTACCCACAACCCCACAGCACATCACCAAGACACAGCTTTGACACCACACTGCAGACAGTTAAAAGGCAGCATTTCAGCTACCAAGGCTGGGGCAGAAGGCTGACAGACCCTTGGTCACATGTCACACCTCCTGGCTAGCTGAAATAGACTGGGTGGCTCTGTACCCACTGTGCAGATGTGTCCACTGAGGTTGGAGGTAAAGCAGCAGAATGAGTCCCAAGGGCAGGAAGTGGGTGCATTCTGGAATATCCTGGGGTCTGTGCTGAGCCCAGGAGAGAGAGGCTGCAGAGAAACTGGGTTTCAGCCTCTGTGGGAAATCAGAGGCCCGGGATTAAACACTACTCAGGCCAGTGCCAGGTGGTGGTGTGGCCACCCGGGAAAGGTGTGGCACTGTGTACCAAATGCCAAGATGGCTCTGAAATCACCTGGGGCCGACACAAAGTTCCCTGTGTGCGGCAGGCGAGGCGGAGCAGGTGTGTGAGAGCTAACAGGTTCTTGGTCACATTGCAGGCTCTGGCTGCAGCCCCATTGCGGACACCTGTCCCAGAACCTGAACTGAGGCCAACACTCCCAAGGCCAAACCAGCAGGTCTGATTCCAAGGAGGTACAATGCAGTCTGGAAGCAGTGAGCTGCCCTCCTCTGGCCTGACAACTGCGAAGACTGGAGAGAGTCCCTGTTCTACCCTGCCTCAAGGTCTTCCTCTCAGGACGAGAATGCCATCTGCCATCTCCTCACTCCAGACATGCCACACACGAACAGTGTGGGGAGCTTGGTGAAGACTCCATGATCATAGCCAGCACCAAGGACCCCAACTGCCTGCCCCTTTCGCTCCTCAGACCCCTCTATGTTCACCTTTCCGAGAGGTGAGGAATGGCTGTGGCACCATGCGTGCCTCAGTGGTCACCTCCTTCTAAGCAGGCAGCATCCCTGCCGAGGACAGCTCTGAAGACCGTCACATAGGGAACACGTGGTTTCTAGCTGTGGCATCTTTGAAATGTAGGCTTGCCGGGCAGTGGGGGCCCATGTTTTTAATCCCAGCACTTGGGAGACAGAGGCAGGCGGGCCTCTGTGAGTTCGAGGCCAGCCTGCGAGTTACAGGACAGGCTCCAAAGCTACAGAGAAACCCTGTCTTGAAAAAACAAACAAAAACAATAAAACACACACAAAAGAAAGGAGGCTTCCTCAGAGGACATGGGCACAGTTGTGCCCTTTGCAGAGCCCTGTGTAGTTCTCCCCTGCTTGCTCTCTAGCTGCCTAAGACAGAGGTCTGCTCTATCATGCTCTCCCCTGTGCACAATGCTCCCCTTCCTGGGGCCTGCAGTACGGAGCCAAGGCACCATGGACTGCACCATCTGAAACCATAAGCCCCTAAAAAACAGAAGCCAATGGGCTGGAGAAATGGCTCAGAGGTTAAGAGCATTGCCTGTTCTTCCAAAGGTCCTGAGTTCAATTCCCAGCAACCACATGGTGGCTCACAACCATCTGTAAAGAGGTCTGGCGTCCTCTTCTGGCCTGTAGGCATACACACAGACAGAATATTGTATACATAATAAATAAATGAATATTTAAAAAAAAAAAAAAACAGAAACCAAAAGGAGCAACTGTTTTCCTCGGGTATTCTGTCCAGCGGTGGGAAGTCACGGCTCATGGGAAGTCTTTGGCAAACCTGGCTCACTGCCCCAGGTGAGGCCGCTACAGCTGAGAAGATACAAAAGCGCACATTTTACTGGCCCTTAATTGAGCTCCTCTGGCAATGAGCAAGCTTCGGTTTGGAAGAAGAAAGTTGGCCACGACCCCGTTTCTTCACTGCCCCCACTTTAACCTACAACACATGTTCTCATGAGCGGAGGGCTGCTGATGAAGGCAGGGTCTGGTCCTGCCTGCCTGAATGCATTCGTTAGGTGCACACTAGCAGGCATGGGAGGCAGCGGCATGGCCTGGGGCATTCTGTGATGAGCAGCCGGCTCTGGAGTCGGATCCAGATTTTCTGAGAACCCCCTACCTCCTCAGACCCAGGCTGGCCACTCTCTGGCTTACAGAGTGCATCTTCTTTTGGAGGGGGGTGTCTAGGATGTGGCGCTCTAACTGCGGCAAGTACAGTCCACACAAAGGGCCAGAGGTATCCTCGGTCCAACACCAACTCTATTTGATTCTTACCTTCCTCAAAGCACTACCTTTACGTCAGCCAAAAAGGGGGAAAAAATCACACCGAATAGGTCCTAGGGGCCCCAAAGAGTCACAGGTCCTAAACCATTGGAGGCAGCTCTCCTACAATGCCTTCCCATTGGCTACTATCCTCAGTCCTAGTCAGAAGCCTGTGGCTAGTTCCTACCCCAAGGTCAGAGGGCCCTGCCCCAGGGAGGATGGGCGGCTGAAGGTGTGGGATATGCTGTGCTAACAGTTGGCCTGGACACGGCAGCAGCTGCAGGGACCCTGGCAGAGAAGCTCTCCCCACACCAGGAAACACCTCCACAGAAGCAAACAAGGAGAGGCTGCATTCCGTGTCAGCAGGGCCCTGGGGAGGGAGCTAAAAATAGACACGAGCTTGAAGATGGTTGGCAATGGTATGTGTGTGTAGGGGACCAGCAGGAGCAGGAGGGGCAGCACAATCACTCGTGTAGCTGTGTGCAGTACACATGTGTGTGCTGAGGCCTAGGGCTTGTGCTTGTGTGGCTGCTTCCTAGGCACAGCTAAGCTCAGGGAATCTGTCTCTAGAATCTTCCCCTTTGCCCTCACCAACTGCTCTCACCCCCCCCCCGCCCCGCCCATCAGTGGGCCCCAGCACACCTCAGAGAAGAACCAAGGAGCATCTTCAACAAGTTCGGAGTAGCAGGCAGAGAGCCTGGACCCACAGACACCATTCCCACCACCTGCTAAGTGTCTTTCTCCCACCCTCTGCAGCCCTGCATGGCCTGGTGCCTCCTCTCTTCAGGTCCATGCAGCTCCTACACTGCCCAGGATGCAGCTTTCCATGGACTCAGTGAAGACCACGGGCCAGGTCCCCTGACTGGACCCCTGGGGTTGGATTCAACAGAAACAGGGCACATGGGGTACATGACCGTCACCTTCCAGAGTCTACCCTGGCCTCAGTGTTGGGCTTTCACAGTCCTGGGAACCAAAAGAAGGTACTGCGGGATGCACTTGACCATATAGCCAGGAAGGGGAACTTATGGCTTCATGCAGGGGGCTGTGACCACACCCACAGTAGCACCAGCCTTCTCTACTTCCAGACTTGGTGGGCTTATCAGATGGAGCCCTGTCAAGATGCAGACTGCCCGCCCAGAACTGGAGCTGCCTCATTTTGTGCCCATCTGAGAAACTGAGGCACACAGAAGGCATATGCCTAAGGATCACAGTTGATCAGTGGGCCACCCTTCTCATCTGCACGAGCCCCTAGTAGCACAGAACTGAAGCTTGCTTTTTATCAGCTGACACCAAAGTCACGTTGGGAGGGTACACCCCTCAGTCCTCCCAGGCCCCCTGATGAGCTAGAGGACATAGGCACTGTGCCAGCCATGGTGACGAGCTCAGAGAGGTCTGACCCATTTGCCCATCTTACAGCCTGCATCTTACAAGGTACCCCTTCTCGAGACTTCACTAAACCTGGGCACAGTCCATGATCACAGGCTTGGGTCCTGCCCTGTTTAGGACAGGATGGTACACTCACCACAAGCTGAGGTACAGGCAGTGGCTTGCCCTCCTGGTTCAGGGACACGTAGGTGAAGAAGGCACTGGCAGCCCGGTACCGCTTCTGTGAGTTGTCCACCACAGGGTCAGCGTCCACCAGGACCTCAATCTCCATGGACTTGTTGCTCGTGAAGGTCATGCGTCCAGAGATGGTGATGACGCAGCCTGCAGAGTACACGGAGCCACTGCATTAGTGGATCCAGCTTGGGCTCTACCCACGAGGGCACCAGGTAGGCAGGGCAGGGCAGCGGGAAACCCACGTTACTGAGAACAGTTAAGAGACTGGGTTAGGCAACACAGGCAGCAGCAACTACAAGGACATTATGACAACGAACTATTAGTGTGTGCCATTATTAGTGGATGTGAGTCGTCTGTCTCCTGAGCATACGTTCCCTGCTGCCCCAGCCGTTCTGGCAGCCACTGGGTCCAGCCCCACTGACACAGGGCCAGGAGGAGCAGGCTGTCAGCCAGGCGGTGGGTGGGCTTGTTCAGTCCTGCCTCCGGTGAAGGTCACACCTGCCACCTTCCCTGTCCTCTAGGGCCACACAGCTGCCCCCCTGTGATGTTGAGTACCAGAGAGAATACCCAAGAGGTTTACAATCTTTATGCTGGATTAACACAAATCATGGCATCAGGTTTTGGGTGGAGTCATGTGACTATCTGTCAGGTCTGCTGAAGTTTCATCCTCTGACGTCATGTCAGAATTGTGCCCAGGTTCACCTCTTCTCAACACCAGCATGGTGTCAAGTGGTCATGACCTTAGTCCACAGTCTAGGTCTCTGTAAATGCCTGCGTGACCCCCTCAACTCTAAGCCAAAACATACTACTACAACCTTGGCACATGGCATGTCAGCATGGGTTCTGCTTCTGGGCTTGTTGCCTCTCCCTGCCACCACCCACCCTTCCACACAGACCCCTCCACTGCCAGGCCTTGCCCCTCTCAACTCTGGTCTCAGGGAGCTCAGTTCTGCTCTCACAATTGAGCACAAGGGAACTTGCCCTTCAGGGACCTGTGAAAGGAAAGGCAGTAGACCCAGTGCCTAGTCTAGTGCTTGCCAAGGGTCATCATTCCCATCGTGACGGGTTTGGACACAGGTGTGCTGGCCTGTGAGGGCTTTGGTTGCTGCCATTTCTGACTGATGTGTGACCAGAATCCTCCTCCCACCTCCAGCACGGTCTTCTCCTGGGCCAGGCCATGTGTGTCACAGGACTACTCAGCAGGGACCAGTGCTGGCTGTAGGGCCCTACGACACATATGTAGCATCCTAGTTTCAAGACAGGTCCTGCAGGACACACCGAGACAGAGAGAGAGAGAGAGAGAGAGAGAGAGAGAGAGAGAGAGAGAGAGAGAGAGAGAGAAGACAGTGGAGGTAGCAGGGCTTTCTGTTCAGAAGATCAGAAAGCTCCATTCCACATTCAACTTCATACTTACACAAGGAGCTTCAGTGCAGGACATGGCCATTTCTGGGAGGGAAGGAAGGAGCCAGGAGGTCAGCAATAGGTGGCTTGGTAAGAGCTGGAGTGCTCAGTCACACACAAGCATCTGACAGGTGACACACCTGTGCCACATCCTGAGACTGTTACCCACTCAGGGTCTAGCAGCTTAGACTAGTCACCACATGTCTCACAATGCTTCTGTTCTCTCCTAAATGCTCACTGAGAGCTGGGCTGTGAGGCTAGACATGGGAAAGAGGAAGTCGGCAAGATTTCCCCAAAGTCCAAGGCTCATGGGGGCCACTGTACGAAGGGCACATGGCACACACTGCTACAAAAAGTAAATTCTAGGCTCTCCAAACACTGTGAGCTCCAGAGGATAAGCAGAAATGTGTCCTGTTGTCAACCAGGAAACATTTCCTACCATGGCTCACAGTGAAACCCTGGCTGCTCAGGGTTTAGCATCCGAGTTGGAAGTCCACAGCTCCTGTCTCCAAGTCTAAAGAAGAAGTGACTGGTTCTGAGTACTGGGCCAGAGGACCAGCAGACGGAAGGGTCTGGAGAGCCAGGGGTGCCATACAACACCCCAAGACTAGGCATTTTCACTCCCAAGAGAGCCACATCACCATGTCACACAGACGCCTCGGGGGAACCCCACAGACACAGGAATCCGCTATGGAACTGGCACCTGACCGGGTCACTGAGAGAACAGGATCAAACTGAAACCCCATGTTGAAAATCCTCAGCCCCAGTGACCAGGAGGCACAGAGCATCCAGAGGCCCTGGACAGGCCTGGACTGTGTGGTTTAGAAGCACGGCACAGGCCTCCACCAAAACACTGCCAGGCGATGCATCCTCCCACTTCCGTCCTCTGAATGGCTGGCTGCCCTACAATCTCCTCCCCAGGAGGAAGCAGGGCAGCCATTCCACAGGCACCCAGAATTCCAGGCGCACAGAGATGAAGTGACTAAAGAACGGGGAGTCCAGGCTCATAGTGACCCTCCTGGTTACAAACATGCTTGTTAGCAAAGAGATCTCAGCACCTAGGCGGTGGGAAGATGAAACCTGGTGCATCCGTGGATACATGTTCAGCTGGTGGAGGAGCAGGCCAGCCCCAATGTCAACAGCTCCTGCAGCTCTGTCCCTCTGCCTAGGGCGGTGGCCTCGTGGGTAAGCAAGCACCACGGCTAATGCCAGCACACAGCACCTGGGCCACCCACACTCAAAGTTGCAGGTGTCTGGACATACGTGCGACACAATGGAACAGCTTACTGCCTGTACCGCAGCCACACAGGGCTCTGCACATCAGAAAGTGGCTGGGACAACGAGGATCGGCACTCTTCATCCCTTCTCTCTCTTTGCCCCTTCTCTTTCTTTCCTTCTGTCCCCCCTTCTGGTCTTTCTTCTTTAGAGGTTTCACAACACAGCCCAGGCTGCCTAGGACTTGCCATCTTTCTGCCTTCCCGGAATGGCCTCACTGTGTTGGCCAGGCTACACTGGGACTCTAAGCACACCCCAGTATGCCCAGCTTTAATTGTCATTTTAATTATACTCTCAACAGTCATGTGTGGACTGGGACTATTTTGTGGGCAGCACAGTAGTTAAAAACAAAGCTAAGGGCTGAAGAGATGGTCTAGTAGCTGAGAGTACTTGTTGCTCTTGCTGAGAACCTACATTCAATTCCTAATACCCCCATGGGAGCTTACAACCATTCAAACTCCAGGTCTAGTCCACAAACACCAGGAACACACATGATCACATACACATGTGCAGGTAAAACACATATACATATTAAAAAAGACTAAAAAGGTTTTTTTTTGTAGTTTTGTTTTGTTTTTAACCAAAGCCAATAGAAAGGAACGCAGGGAGCTGCTGCAGGAAGCAGACTCAACCATCCACCTGGTGCTCCCCAAACTCAACAGGAAAAGGACCCTGATGAAGGCTGATGAGGGCGGAATGGAACAGAGCCTCTTAGACTAACACTCTGCACGCTGCCTCAAAGGAGAGACACGTTCCTATTCAAATATGAGCAGCGATGGAAGCTGGGCCACATCCATGGTGAACAAAGGCCGATGACAGAGCATTTGACCTATGAAGGTCATATGTAGCACACACACACTCACCCAGCAGCTGCTGTGTGCCCCGGATGCCTCACTGTGCCCTGGGCTATGGGCAGCTTCCTTAGCCTCTCAAGCTAAAGACTGGAACACCGAGCAGACAGGCTGCAGAGGGCTAACGGGAGGGCACTTGGTACAGGCCTGACTGTGGCGTCAGCAATATCCAAGGCAAATGTAGCAAGTGGGTTGGGCTGTGAACCGCCTGCTCTGAAGTCACAGACAGCCCACCTGGAGCGCACACCGAAGACTGGCAGCTGCCCTAGCTGACTCCCCTGAAGACGACATCACTTCCCAGGCAGTGCAGCCAGACTACAGTAGTATGCCAGGAATTTGAAACAGAAAACAAACTAATTAAAAAAATTAGCTGTTACCAAGCCTGAGACCTGTCAAGCCCTTCCAAGTTTACAAAGAGATCTGTGTTTTGTGCAGCAGAGGGCCGCCTCACAGAGCGGGGCACTGACGCTGTCACGACACTGCAGCCTCTTGAGTCTAGTCTTCCTAGTCTGAAGACTGGGTATCCGCAAGAAAACCGCACTTCCGAAAACCATCTCTACAAGGAACCTGGTTGGATTTAATGTCTCAGCTGAGGAGGAAAATGGAAACAGTACCCCATGGGATACATCACACTCATGAAGTTGAGGTTTCTTGTTTGACCGAGTGATGGCAGGCACTCTGTCCACATCAGGTTCCCTGTGCTGTGTGCTGTCCAGGATCCTCATCAAACTCGGCCTGGTCACACAGCTCAGGCTCCCACTGTCCCCAGCATCCACAATACCAGCATGGAGAACCTGAGATGCTCTTGCTGGGCGAGCAGCACTTAAGAAGCTGGATCTCCATCCTCCCCATTTCTTACTGGGCAAGGGAATAAGTGACACGGAAGGGATCAGAGATACAGGGCTGGACACGCATCTAGTATGTGATGAAGTCGCTGGAGAGTTTAACTCAACCTACACCTTCAGTGTGCACAGGTGGAAGCTGTCCTCGGTGTGCCAGGATGCCAGGCTGAGCAGCCTGAATGCATGGGGTTGCAGGGGGCCGTGGAGGCTGTGAGCCACAGCGGGGGATGGTATATGTCCTCTCTATTCTCAGAACAAGTGAAGAGTTAGCCTCGGAGAACCAAATTTGTAAACGGCAAGTTGGCTGTTCTGCAGGAGCAGGGGAACCGTAGCCCGAGTCGCCATATGGAAGGCCTGGCCCTGAAACAGCCTATGTGTGCAAACCCGGGGCAGCTCACTGTACCTTAGCACATTTCCTGCTGGACTAGAACTCACACATTCTCTTCTGACCATAGAACGCTGTCGCTAAAGCTTTCTGACGGACATCCTATTGGTTGGCTGTAGAGATATTTCATTGCATTTTAATTAATAAAGCTTGCATGAAGACCAGAGAGTAAAACAGCTGTTCTGGTCAGTCTTATAGACCAGGCAGTGGTGACACACACCTTTAATCCCAGTAGCCACACTAGTTGCCATAGAAACTGGGTGGTGCATGCCTTTAATGCCAGCCCTAGAGAGAATTATAAAATGGGAGGACACAGCTCTCAGACACAGTTTCATTCTGAGACTCCTGGACGCAGGATCGCCATTTTGCACTGAGGTAGAGATAAGAGCTAGTGGCTGGCTGCTTTGCTTTTCAGATATTCAGGTTGAACCCCCAAATCAGTCTTAGCATTTTTATTAGCCATGCTACAGTTGACAGAAAAAAATCTTCTGAGAGACATACCCCCAAAATGGCCTGTGGTCAAGGACACCGAGAGCCAGAGGAGGCAGTATAGGTCCTCATAGGGTATACAGCTCTGAGAGCCTCCTAGACTCAGATGTTAACTTTCAAGATCAGCAGAAAATTTGTTCCTGTCATTTTAAACATCCCAGTTTGTGAGCATCAGACACCGCAGCCCCAGGGGGCTAACACTTCTTCAGAGTCCACGTGTGCCAGACCCATCTTGCAGGCAAGGTTCCCAGGGCTCTGTAGATGCTGCCTTACCCTGTACACACTGATGCATGTCACACCTCTTCTGAGGAGGTGGAAACTGTCCCCTGTGACCTCCTCCCTGCTAGAGCTGAGGAGTGAGACAAAGGAAAGGCACAGGGAAGGTGGCTCAAGAAGCGCCAGAGCCTTGGAAGCTTAAGGTGACCTCAGCAGGTTTATCAGAACAGGCCTGTCAGCTCCTCTCTCCACATAGCTGCTGACACGCGTGGACTGTACCATCACAAACCCAGAGGCAGAAGGGACTTGCCAATTCTGAGCCTCCAGTGAAGAACAGAACTCACTAGCCTCTCTACTGAGGAACCCAAGATGGAATGTCACAACCACATGTGATAAAGATGCAGCCTGTGCCACCTGAAGAGGGACCCTCGTCCCTGGACACACTCCAGGATGGCTCCTGTGTAAAAGGACAGACAATACATGGGGACCTCACAGGGGACCTCTCAGTGGAAACAAAAGCTCGAGGATACTGGTACAGAAGTAGGCCAGACTCCATAACTGCTGTTTCATTACTGCCTCAGTTCCTTCAAATCCCAAGCACGATGTCATTTCAGCAAACAGCCATCATCTGCTGCTCGCTGGGAGGAGCCAATGTCTCTCTCAGAAGTCATTAGGCCGGAAGGCTCTAACGGTACAAGGGCAAAGACCAAGCTGTGGCAGTCACTGAGGGTGGGGGCTTGTTGGGGGTTGTGGACTCCCAGACCCTGAATTTCCTGTGAACAACCTGTTTTCCTGTGTTTGCAGCTGCTCTGAGCAAGAGACCCTCAGGAGTTCCTGATGGCAGGGAGTGGTTTCTGGTGGGTTTGGCTGGGCGTGGCTATCAGTTAAGGATCCCTATATAAGCTACACTGGAACACAATAAAGGGGGCATTCTTGGGGAATTCAAGGATGACCCATATCTCTGTCTCTGTGTGTTTCAATCTCCAGCCCCTTGCCTGACTGGTCCCATAGTGCAGGTGGTGTCTACAGGAGTAGTACCATACACAGCACATGTAGTAAGGCACTAAAGGACCATAGTACACGGAGTAGTATGGGCTTTACAGGGGCTCTGGGGAAGGGGCCACATATCAGAGATTTTTTTTTTTAATTAAAGATAGGGTCTCACTATGTAACCCTGGGTGGCTGGGAACTCACTATGGAGATTACGCTGGCCTTGGACCCCCAGGTGCTGGGATTAAAGATGTGCACCACAACATCTTTTTAGCTACAAAGACCAGACAAGGAGGTTCTGTGCAACGGCCCTCTTCCCTCCCTTGACCCTTTGAGAAAGCCAGTGCAGAACAGGGTATCAGACTGTAAATCAGGGACCTTAGAAAGTGAAGACCCTTTTACTTCCAACTGCTGCAGATAAATGCACCTTTAGAAGTTAGTCTCTGTCCTCAAAGCCCCACATCTCTGGTGGCAGAAATGACCCGAGACAAGCTGTCAGACTCTCATCTTAGAACACTGCCTCTTGAAAAGTCCCTTCCAAGCTCCTGGCCATGCAGGGGGTTAACAGTGAAGAAGCGATTTCCCTGGTGGCTTCATTCCGAGAACAGAGTGGAGTCCCTTTAAGGGCTCTCTGACTCAAGGATTTATTGGTGCATCTATTGCTGGGTGGACATGGAAGAAAAGCTGCTACGTAGGACGCTTTTCTCAGTGTTCTGGGGTCACTATAGGACGGCCGAGTAAGACCAGTTCTGTGGTGCACGAGCCTGCTCTCCATGGTGGTTTTGGGTTATACTTAACAATGGAGTGCAGAACAGCCATGTCACCAGGCAGGAACTCTAGGAAAGGGGAAGCATGAAATCTGACACTCAGTACTCTCCCCTCCCGAAAGGCTCATGGAATGAGCTACAAGGAGCACAGCACTCAAGGCTTCTGACACACAAGGCCCCAAGAAACAAGCCGAAGTAGACAAGACCCACCTGTTGCGGGCAACTGTTAAAGCGATACTATTGTCTGTGTTTCTGGCAAATACCTGTCAATCAAGACAGATTCTTGGAAGCAGCAGGAGCCATGTCACAGCTGGCTATCCTTACTAGACAGCCTGTGTCCACAGCAGAGTAGGGCAATGGGGGGAGTCCTGCACCTGCTCTACCTCGGAGTGCTCCCATTGACCAAGCAGCAGCCCTTACCAGGTGCTGGGAAGCACCCAGGCCCACAAGGCTCTGGTCTCAGCACCACGAGTACAAGGCAGTGAAGTGGCTTAAACTGCATGGCTCCTAGTCTGCAATCAGCCATGTGGGGGCCTGGCCTTATCCACTGCCCCTCCCGTGAGCTGCTCTCAAGTGCAGCATCCCAGGGCCAAGGCTCAGCTTTGGACTCACCCTCCCTGTGCAACTCCCAAGGCTGAGGCACTGATGAACTTGCTCCACAAGCTACAGACACACAACTAAATTTCCATGTGAACTCCTGAGCAGCCCTCAAGCAAGGTGAGCGGAGATAGCCGAGGAGGGAGCACCTGAGGCACCTCAGCACTGTCCTGCCATCATTGTCCACCCTGCCATGGGTCACCTCTTATTCCATAAGAAGAAACCGACAAGGTGCAGTGGCGGCTGTTCAAACGAGGGCATCGCGGGGCTCAGTCTGTCTTAAGAGGATGAATTAATGCTGGGCGTCAGGGACAAAAGCCTCCTCATCCCAGAGTTTCCAAGTGAAGTCAGATCAATAAATAGCAGCCTCGCGGATGTGTGGAAAGGACAAAGCAGTTTTGTCTTTCTGCCCCTCGTGCACACAGGCAGACACCAGGTGTGAGCACAAAGCGAGATGGCACCAGGGACCCAGAGACCCTAAAGAGCTACTCCCCCTCATTCTCGCGGGAAGCGCTCGCTTACCTTTCCGGATTTTGTCATGGAAATTGATGGCATCCACGGAAGCTGTGACGATGTTGGTCTTGCAGTGGCGTGCAGCCACAATCCCGGCCACTTCATCCATGAGTTTCATCGTGACACCTGCACAGAAGAAGGGCATGTGGCTGGTGAGTCCTGGAGGAAGAGGGGATGTTCACACCCTGGGATCAAGTCCTCCCACCCACACCAGCAGGGGCTCCAATCAGCAGGGGGCTGGGGTGTGGCACACCCTGACTCTCATTTTAAAGTTGACTTCCTCAGCAACATCTGAAAATGGCCTCAGGTGAGATTCAAGGCACCTGACAAAGTTCTCCACAAATCTCACTGCCAGAACGAGGTCATAACAATGTTCCCTGGGAGGACGCCAGCCAAAACATCAGCTGGTTAGATATGGTAACACACATCTGTGACCCACATATCCAAGAGGCTGAGGCGGGAGGATCTTGAGTTTGATGCCAGCCTGGGATACATAGCACAAGACCCTGTCCTGTTTCAAAACAATAAGGACAAAGTCAGATAATACAAGGCAAGGGCAGCTCAGAATCATGAGTCCTTCCTATCTATTCAGAGACAGACAGGGTTTCTCTGTGTAGCCCTTGCTGCCCTGGAACTCACTCTGTAGACCAGGCTGGCCTCAAACTCAGAGATCCACCTGCCTCTCCCTTCTGAGTGCACGTGTCGTATGTACACACCAGCGGCACTGCCTGCCTAGTGATCACTACACTCCTATTTATCTACGCGTGTGTTGTATGTACCACTGCACACATGTGGCAGTCGGAGGACAATTCTGTGGCATTGGCTCTCTCCTTCTACCTCTATGTGGGTTGTGCCCTGGGCGTGTATGGCAAGTGCTTTCCTCACTGAGCCAGCCACCTTTTCAGTCCCTGCCCATCTATTCTTGAGACAAGGTCTTGCTGATGTAACCCAGATTGGTCTTAGACTCAAGAATCTCCTGCCTTCGTGTCCCAAGCACTGGGATTATAACCTACAAAAGCATCCAAGTGATATTGATCCACCCAACAGACGTCAGGACTTTAGAAAGCTAAGTGCTCATTATTCTCGGACGTACTGGCTTCTAAAGACACAGAGTGAGGAGCAAAGCCGGGAGGCACACACTCCCCCCGCCACGAGGTCGAGGCTCTAGTGCAGTCACAAGCTGATATGCTGGCAGGTGACACCACTGGCCAGCCGAGGTCCTCTGCTGCTCAGTCCTGCCAACCATCTTCAAGGCTACAAAGGCCTTGGTTGGATTCTAATTGTACCGGATTGAAAAAGTCACAAGCAGTTGAGGGGTCAACTGGGCACAGAGGGACAAGTTGATACAAAGGATCTATACATCTAATTTCAAAGGGTGTGAGATCAGCAGGGTGAGTGCTAAAAAACAGAAAGACACTGAGCTCATGACATCTGAGATTGCCCCTGATGAGCTCCAGCGAGTAAGCAAAGAAAAGCAATGTCCAGGTGCTGACAGTCACGGACACAAGGGTGTGGATGGCCTGGTTCAACGTCCACTTCCTTTGGCTTTTCCATTTGAGTACTCCCCAGTGAAGAAACAAAAACAAACAAAACTACCTCAGAGTTCAGTGCTCCTGGTTTTAGGGAATTATACTCTTATTAAGTAGAAGGTTTGGCTAACCATGGTGGAGGAGGGGAAGGAAATGCGGGCAGCTGCAGGCACGCAGGTGCCCGTCCTGCTCAGTCTACACAGGAGGTCAGGAGTTCACTTCTCAAAACAAAAACAGGGGCAGAGTCAGAGCGCCCAGTTCTAAGCATAGGACAAATGACACACCACTGCATCCACGTCCTCCCTCCTGAGCAGGGCAGGGGAGGGTGCTAGGGGCTGCAGCTCTGCACTCCAAGTCTGGACAGGGGTCCTACTGGGCTTGGTGTTTGCAAAGATGAAGACTTATTACAGAAACATTTACAGCTCTACCTGAGCCCAACACAGGATCCTTCCCCTCACCCTAGGCCAGGGCCCTCGTGGAAGTTGAGACCAGGCAAGGCTCAGCAGAGGAGGGACCTGTAAGATGAATTCTCTAGCCTAGGACTAGAATCAAAATCACAATAGGGATCATCTGTGAGTCAATGTTCACAGCCTTGGAAAGACTGGGTTCTGAGTTAAGTGAGTGTAGAAGCCCACCACAGTGGCTCAGGGGACAGGGTCTAGAGTTGGGCAACCTGGGTGTACAACGCCATGTCTGATCCCTGGAAGGGCCTCAGCACCCACAATCCCTCTCCAAACCCTGTGCACACACGTGGATGGCATGAGAGCATGACTGGATGCCTCCAGGTGGGCAGGTGGCACTTGCCATCTGTGCTGAAGAGATATCAGCACATACGCAGGGTGACTGAGGAGGAGCAATTGCATGAGTTGATGATGGGCCAGTGGTTGCTGCCGCCGCCACGGGAAACAACATATGTTGTTGAACGGAACACCAATTTCCTGTGCGTCTTTGCCAACTTAGGACTGGAAATGAACACATAAGGAAAGAGAAATAGGATGTCTGTGGAGGAGAAGGGAGATCTGGCAGCATCCACACTCTGCTCAGGTGGGCACAGGGGCCAGAGAAAGTCAACCTTCCCTGGCCAGGTGCCACTCAGAGGCACATCTGGGCCATGCCACTACCTCCTGATTGGGCCGTGGCTTCATGACAAGTCTCTGTGCGCACACTTATTTAAGGACTTTGGAGAGGACGGAGTAAGGGGGGCTCACAGACTGAATTCTTCTAGACAAATTTTCTCCATAAAAAACAGCAGTGACAGCAGCTGGACAGCAGCCAGACGCACAGCAGAATCAGCACGAGGCACTGGCTCGCACTCAGGTGCTTTCCCAGAACATCCCTCATACCATGAGCAACGCCCCTGGTGACCACAGAAGCTCCCTGGGCTCAGATCAACATCAAGAACACTTGCTGCACAACACTGACAGTGTGAGCACACTAAGAAAAGATGTGCTCAGAATTCCAATGTGGGTTTAGATCACACCTATCAGTCAAGCAGAGAAAGGCTAAGAGACAGGAGTCTAGGAACTGTGGCTGCTGGCCTCACTGGGACAACACTCTTTAAATGCTGGGTTCATAGCGCTATACCTTCAGGATAGCTGTCCTTTTTAGGAGACAAGTCCATCTGACAAAGATGAGTTGGCTCTTTCCAGAAGAAAGTGAAAAAGTCCAGAAGACAGTGCAAAGGGGGCAGAAGAATTCTGGCATTGGCGCACAGGAGAAAAGACAGACACACACACCTGGAGATGCCATAAAGCTTCCTGGGACTCGGATGTACAGGACCGGCTGCACTGCAGAAGCACTGGTGCTAGGCAGAGCTCAGAACCTGGGGGGAGTCAGCTCCGGGAAGACCCGGGCCTCTGGCCTCTCAACAAACACAGACAAATGATGCTGAGCTTCCCTGGAAAGCCCCAGAAGACAGGCACATTGCTGTCTGTCTCACAAATCAGAGCACGGAGACACAAGGAGTTGTGTGTCCCAGACCCACAGCAGGAACTGCGTCCAGACCTGCTCAGGGGGCTGAGGCCAAGCGATGCTCCTTTCCAACATGGTTGGCCAGATCAAAAGTGAAGAGGAATTCTTAGGTAGGGTGATGGCAACGATTTCAAGATCATGGTGAATGGCAGGGTGGCAGGAAAATTGCTGTGTGCGTAGAGGGGGTCATGGCCCAGAGCATGTCCCTGGCCTCTCAACTGTTTAGTTATGGGAGGGGACAAAGAAGGAAAGAACAAGATTGTTAAAAAAAACCTAGGATTCAAATGGCGGTCATGGCACATGACTTTAATCCCAGCTCTTGGAGGCAGAGGAAGGCCAACTTCTCTGGGTTCAAGGCCAGCCTGGTCTATACAGTGAGTTCTAGGACAGCCAGGGATACATAGAGTAGAGAAACCCTGTCTCAAAACAATAACAATAAATCTAGAACTCACTACATCTATAATTGGCCCCTTGTTTACAAATACAACTTGTTAGAAATGTAAGAATAAAATGTAAGAGACTGATATAAACATTTTAAAATGTAGTTTTGCCTCATTTATCAAAAATGCCAGCTAGTTATCATCAACTCCACTGGGGCCAGGGGCCACTGTCTCTAAAATGCTGAGAGTTCTAACGTGCAAGGCTGCGATCCCCAGGAAATTTTGGAAGAAACAAGCATTGTTGGGTGAGTTTCTGGTTCACGGATGGCAATGTTGGCCCATATGTGACTCCACAATGATTGCAGTGGATAATGTGTGACAAGATATCTGATCTGTACCTCAGTTTCCCTGGCCCAAGACAGATCCTGGCTCTGGGTGCTCAAGAGATGGCTACTGGAGATGAATGCACGGATAGAGAAACAGATACGGAAGACCCCAAACTATCACTCTAAATAGTACTGGTCTACCCTCAAGCCCAACAGACTCATGTCCATCTCATTATGCAAAATGCATCCAAGCCCACCTCCAAGAACCCCCAGAGGTTTTTAAGAGTTCTAACAGGAGTCAAAAGCCAAGAGTTAAGTTTCCTTGGAGACTCAGGGCAATCATCAGTCCTTGGAAAAACCAGAAAGTCACATACTACCAACATGCATGGTTCAGAGTCCACTTCTATTCCAAACAGAACCAACAGGCGGCCTGGGGAGCCCCCACTCCTCTGCCTCGCCACGTAGCCCCACAGTCTCTTCTGGATGGGTGTAGTTATCCCCTAGCCCCTCGGGGTTTCTCCCGCAAATATTCCACTGTATTAGCTTCTCTAACACCCTGGGGTCTCCAGTGTGACAGGCTTCATTCAGCCTACGGCTTCACAGGTAGCGCTTAGAGCTCCCTGCAGGGATCCTAACCCACCACACACTGCCTGCCCCTCAGGTCTTCCTTCAAAATCTGGGTGCAAGACCCAATGATTCCATAAATTTTGAATTCTGTATGCCTAGGTAGAGACCATGCCAAGGACTGCTGCCAGCTGGAACAGTAGTCAGGGTCCCCACCCCCAACCATGGCTACAGAGGCTTCTGAATGCCTGGGCAGTAAGTAGATGTGGGAAAACCCTTCCCTGGACAGCTCACTGTGTGGTCCCAGCTGAAGCAGCTTTTTGGTTTTGTTTGTTTATTTTGTTTGCTTTCTTGTT